TCAGATCAATACTTGTTATAGCAAATTTGTGATTGGAAGAGGAATATCTAGGTTCTAATCCTCTGCTTAAACTAGCAATTACTCTTCTTCAGTCCTTTCGCTAGCATATACTCTACCACCTATAAAAAACAGAAAATTGTTGAATAGATGTTGCTCTATTTCCATTTCAATATGATTGCTTTTTCTTCTACATTCTACATTTTCCTGTAACAAGAGTTAACTAGCAGAAGTTATTGATTGACCTGATGCAAGATGAATTTTGTTCAAAAAAGATGAGGTGAGTTTGTGAGATTCTAGTATATCCTGGTGGCACTTCATTCTGTTTCTGTTTGTCTTCTGTTCTCCTTATGTTTGGGACATATCACGTGTCTTTCAGCTGCTTGGGTAAACTAGGCCAAGAACAGACTTGAAACGTTAGTGGGAGTAAGACTGGGTTAGGAGAATATTTTATAGCAATTATGTTATTGAACGGCTAACAGGTGAGCAGAACTCCAAGGCTCTGAGGAGGTAACTGTCAAACCACAGCAAAGCCAAATTGAGAAGGAGGTGATGCCTTGAATTTGCTGGATCAAAACCCCAAACAAGTTATGAATACCACTAAAATAGTTTTATTTTCAAAGTATACCACTTTTAAAGTGTCAGATCATAATTGGTTTTGAGCAGCAATTTTTTGCACACTAATGTTTTGCTATTAATAATAATAGTAAATAATAATAATAGTAGTATCCCAGTGTGGGGCATTATTCATCAGAGCAGAGTCTGAAAGGGAAAGGGTGAGGGCAGTTCAATGTGCAGAGTATATGTGTTAGAAACTGGGCTGCCCCTTTGGCATCTTCAGTAGCTAGAGTTGAAAGGCCATGTACCTGCAGCTGGTGGAGACTGCTGCTTCAGTCACTGTCAGGTATCACTTTACAGAGGAGGAAAACATGCAGGATACATTGCATTCATTAAGACTTCATTGGCAAGGGAGGCTTAATTTTTCAAAAATGAGATGGCTAATAACTGAAATATCGAGATAGAAGATAGATTTTCTTTTTGCTGCTTCTAATGATCAGGAGAAATGGGAACTGCTGTTTGGTACATGGTCACCTGCCAAACATTTTTTTTTCATTTTGGATAGCTTCCATTTTTTTTTTTTTTTTTTTCATGAAAGAGATTCTCCGGGCACTGGATGTCACTTCAACTAAGCCTTTAGCAGCAGTCAGGGAAGACAGGAGATGGCTCTGCTGAGGTGGAGATGATGCATTGGGCTAGAGAAACAGGGGAGAGCAAAGAGGAAGGCAGGGTGATTTTATGAAAACCTGAAAGGCTGAAAGATGGTACTACAACTTCCATGAGAACATGAACATGTTAAGCCCATTGGTAGGAAGATCCATTTCTTTCACTAAGACTAGAGAGCTTAGGGGGAAAAAAACTCAAAAAAAAAACCACAAGAAAACTGCACCCCCCATCCCCAACAAAAACAAACAAACAACCAAAATCAAACCTAAATAACCCACACATGTGACTGCAAGGAGCTGCTCAGGATGTGAAGCAGAGAGGGAATTCCAGGCATCTTTATGGCTGGAGAGGGCCTGAGGTCCAGGAGCTGCAAGACTTGCCAGTATGTTCACTCCTGACCTGCCTCAGAGATCATCTTTGGTACACAACCAGGTTGATACCCTTTTCTCCATGACAGAGAAAAACTAAAGCTGAACAGCTTTCCTCCATTCATCTGCGCAGAAGTGAACACCATGGAGAGGTGCAAAGTTCTTGGGGGGTGTGTGGGAGGGAATAGAGTAGATGATCATCCCTTCCTTCCACAGTAAGCCATGGGTTATCTGAAAGCTCTTGGGTCTGAGTGGCTGAAGATAGTTTAGGTGTGCACTCCTCCATCCTCAGACTCCTCAGACTCCTGTGTTCCCTAATGTTTTTATTAATCCAGGATGAGCTTTGTTGCAGCTCCTCAAAGAAGGTATGTTGCGTGTCTGACACTCTCTCTGGGCTCTTGAGGTGTCTTGATCTGTTCTTAGTATGAGGTCTTTCTCTACAGTGGTATTTCTCTGTATCTTTCTGGCTTCTGGGCTGCTACTGCTATAAAGGCCGACTTCCCAGGTGTATATGGTGAAAACATGGTTTGGATTGGGCTTTTCTCCTAGGTCTGAAGTGCAACATCTGTCCCAGTCCTGGGAAGATGAATTTGTGGCTGGCATGCCAGAGATGTGTGAATGAAAATTGATCTGCTCACTTCTACCTGGGAGTGTGTGTAGTCATTTTGAAATGCCTAATCTGTCCCCCCAAGCCTGACAGTGCCTCTGATGTGATCTCATATAGGTGTGTGATGTCCCCCTCCCTGCTGCTGTATCACTATACACTACCATAGCTGGCAATGGAATTGCGTGGCTGAGACAGAGGAGGAGACAGCCTTACCTCATTGATTGCAGTTTATTGACATTAGGAAATTCATTGTCTGCAAAAGAAGTTGGTAATAATTAAGTGAGTTAATAAATAAGGAATGTATGTGTACAGCTTAGACAGTAAATAACTTACTGGCTTCTTGATTGCCCCAGCATCTTGCTTCTCTCTTCACACAAGGTGTGAAAAGGGCTGATGGTGGGCAGGGTATGGTAGGATATTCTCACCTGGTGAAGAGATGGTCCCATAAACCTTGGCTTTCCCTGGGATGCTGGCGTATGTGCCTGAGCCTGTCCCCGGGGCAGGGAGGTTGTTTAATGCTTTTAGTGCCATTTTCCAACAAATGAGAGATGTGTTTAAAAATAGCAACAGCCCTTTGCGCTTGCCTTTTTTTAGGCATTTTAAGAAACAGCTGCATCCCTTTGACTGGGAGACAGGGAAGGCGATCTGCTCTTTAAGGTCCTCATTAGCTCCTTTGGGACTGTGGAAGGGCTACTGGTGCCCTCCCCTCGCCGGCTGCATTTGTTAATTGACCCCTCTTCACACACTTAGTGGCAAGAAAGGTCGTTTCAGAGATGTGTTTTGCTTAATGGGAGCAAGGAAAGGTGTGGTGCTTAAAGAAAATCCCTCTCTTGGCCAGATAAGCCCCGGATTTGTCAGCAAGACAATTCTCTTTTGTCTGGTTGCTATTGATGCCTGGGTTTGAGGCGGGGGGCTCGGGGGTGCGAGTGCGTGTCTGTGTGTACCACTGTGCAAGCTCAGGTTTAGCCATTTGCGTACAGACAATAGCAGCATTATAATTTTTAATTGCAATTTCATTTGATATTCTCTCCCTTTCCCCCACCCCTCTCTCTGTATAATCTGGATCATTGCTCTCTGTAGCTGATTCCGTGGGAGACCAAGCAGAGTGCGTGGGTGCAGAATATAGAAAGCCAGAGCCATAGAATCTGTTATTTGCGTCATTCTAGGAGACGGGGCTGTTTGCCTGACAAATATACAGAATTAATCCTGGTTTTATCAATATCTGTCTTTTGCTACAGTAGCCAAATACAAGTGTAAAGTGGTAGGGGGACTTGCTGCTGATGTTGTTGTTGATATGGGGAGGGGGGGCACGCGGGGGGGTGACAGGGAAAGAGAAAAAGTGAGGATGCTAAAATATATTCAGCAACCCCCATGCTGTTTGCCTTACAAATATTCAGAAAACAGGCTTATGTTTCTGAATTGCTTTTCGTTAAAATTGGTAACCACAAGAAGGGGGCTGGAGAGGCGGTGGGGGGGCGGGGGGTAATGTTCTTGCAAGGTCTGGCTATGCAGATTGCTCTCCCTGCCTGTGCTTCTGCATGGGATATGCGTGTGGTTTTTAAGAAATATCTAAGAAATATCTCCCTGTCCCCAGACCATATCGCCCCCCCGCCCCCCCCCCCCGCCCCAGCCCCCTCAGGATTTTTGTGCAACTGTACAGAGAACCGCACTACACAAAATATGGGGCTTGCTAATTAACTCTTTTCCTCGAATTGAAGTGCCTTACTGCAAGCACAAAGCTCCAAGCACAGACATCTTTTATGATGAACTAGAGCCTCTGAAGAGGAGAATCTGAACGTGACGTCAATAGCTGATAACTGACGCAGCCTTGCAAAGGAGTCTCAGGCTGGCTCCTTGCAGCCTGCAAGCCCTAATGATTCTATTTTTTCCCCAGTCCCCCCTCGTAGTGAATTACTAGAACGCAAACACACACACCCCTTTTTTTCATATATATATTTATAGATCCTTTATTCTCCAAAGAAAGGGGTTTTTTAAAGGGGGAAAAGGCAGTGGGTGTGGAGGGAAGATTTTTTTTAAAAAAACAACCCTTCTTGGTGCTGGGTGCAGTTCAGTACATGAAACCATCTCCATGTCTTGGCAAAGCAAGCATCCCTGCCTGAAATCCACATTTGTGCATGATGGCAAACTGGTGCATGGTGGTTGTGTGTTTTGCAAAGCCCACTTTATAAAGACTCCGGAGGAAGACAGACACAATAATGCTCGCAAGGCAACAGGCAGAGAGGCACAGAGACAGACTCAATACAACTGTGGATGAGGGGCTTGTGCAATAGGACAGCATGGAAGGCGGTCAGTTTGGTGTGGGTTTTGTTTGTTTGTTTTTGTTGTGGCTTTTCTTTTTCTCTGCAATGATGCACCTAAAGCAAATGTAGATGGTGTTGCAGAAAGAAGCTGGGGTATGGGGGTGAGTGGTTGGGGGTTCTTGGGTTGTAGGGGGGCAGACTAAATGCACATTTAATGTTTTGGACGTAGCGTTCCAGCAAAAATGCCTTTGTGTGTGGATTTTTTTCCCCAGTACCTGCTAAAAATAGCATCAGGGTTTTGATCGCGTTCCAGAAATAGACAGAGGGTTGCACTTGTATAAAAAGCGAGCGCGGGTGGAAGAAAACCTGGACATCACCGCAGTATTTTTTTTCCAACTCCTGTCTGGAAATTAATTGTTGGATTCTCCCCCCCACCCCCGCCCCCCACGCCCCCCCTCTTTCCCCCTCCTCCCCCTCCCTCCCCTAACCGAGGAGTTCCCGTTTGGGTAAGTAGTGATCTTTCCTGTGCATGATACAGAGAGCGGCTGTGAGTCTTGTCTTTATTTTATGCATGCCTGGATTATTTTTTCCTTCCTTTCTACTTTTCCTCTAAAGCGAGAGGGATATACTCGTCTACATAATGAATTTGGTGCATGCCCGGAGCTCAGACAGAGGGAATTCTTGCAGAAAGGGGAATCACCCTGTCGGTAAATCTCTGAATCAATAGCGAGCTGCAACTCTCTCTCTCTCTCTGTCGGCGCTGTTGAGCCCCTCTCCCTGCCCGCCCCCCCCTCTATTTTCGCCCTCCGCGGGGGGAGAGGCAGAGCCGGCGGCGGGGCCGGGGGCGCAGGCCGGCCGCTCCCCGCAGGGCGGCCGCCGGGAGCTGTCCGCGCCCCGGTGCTGAACCCGCCGCCGCTCCGCCGCCGCCGCTGCCGCCACGGGCGGGAGTCGGTCCCGGCCCCGGTGCCCGCCGGGCGGGGGCCGCGCTGCGCCGCTCGCAGCGCCGCTCCCGCGGCGGCTTCCCCGCCGCCGCTCCTCCGCCCGGCGCCGCCTGCCCTTCCCGCCCGTGAGTTTGAAAGAGCCTGTACCTGATGATGGTGCTCCGCAAAATAAGAGGCTATAGGTTGCTTTATTTGGACTCACCCCTTCTCCTCCCACCTCATTTTCCCCCTCTAAGTGCTCACACTTTCTGCAGATCGCGTGTGTGCGAGCGTCTGTTTTTATTATTGCCCGTCCTTCGCGTCCTTAGTCATACCCTCAGCAGCGGAGTTGGTGAAATGACTGAATTAGAGGCGAAGTAGTAGGGGATTGTTGTGGTGTATACGGAGCAGCTATGTAGGGTTACCTCGGTGCTGCAACCACCCGTCACCCCCTCACCGCTTCTGAGAGCCAGGGAAGTTCTCGCTAGGCTACGAGCATGCAGGTTCGCAGGCATTCCGGCTAGCAAAGGCATGTCATCAGATTGCATTAAAAGAGACGAGGAAACACCGTCTGGCACTCACATGCAACATCGCGTTATCCCGGACAATGGTATCCCCTCCGAAACCGCCGTGGAAGGGGGCTTAGCCGCAGACTGAGACCTGCAAAGGATGAAAAACGCACGAGGCAGACAATAACCAAGGAAGGAGCTTCCCCCGGAGCACGTTTAGCCATGGCCTCGCAGTAAAGGCAAGCTTAGAAAATGGTGCACCTACCACACAAAGCCCAGCAACAATTGCGGATCCTGCAGACAATGGCATGATGCAGCCATGAACATCAGTATAGCACAGTACACTGGGCTGGGGTGAGAGCACCTCCTGGCCAAGACCGCATGCAATGGCTCTAATCTAGGCATACAAAAGACATAATTTCTTGCAATTAATCAAACACCAGCGCCTGAATTCACAGCACGGTACTCCACCCACGGCTCCTCTTAATGTCTAAACCGTCCCTTCCCCGTGCTTGCGTGGTCGTATTTACAAGCGGACCAGATATCTATTTTTTTGGTTGCTTTTTTAAAGCAAGAAAAAAAAAACCTTGCAACACGTGTAGCCAATCATTGCAACTCTTAATATACCTCTACAAAACAGGCTTTAAAAACAAGAAATGCCCTCCTTCCTCGCCCCCTCCCTCGCCTTCCCAGCCCTCCCCTCCTAGATCGTTGCCTCACTTGACACAATGCATAAGATTACCCTTAACTGGATCCTATTAAATAATTCAATGGTGGCGGTGTAATTTTGGTTGGAAACTGCACGGATTTCCAAGTCGTGACTGTAAAAGTGAGTAATGTGCTCTGGCTGCGTCATGGCTCCAGTCACAGATGGTTCCAAACTGAGGAGAAATCGTGACTTCGACTTGAGACGTCCCCTCTCCATGAAAAGACCATCCAATCACAACGGCGTCGGGGGGCAGCCGGACTCCGCGGAGCTCGTTTTCTCCTTGCTCTCCCGTCCGTGTGTGTGTGTGTGCCCGTGTGCCCGTGCCTGCGCGCGTGTGTGTATAAAATCCTCAACAAGTTGCAGAAGGGGTAGGGAGAGGAGGGGTTAATCCTGGGGAATCTTCTGCACCTAGTGAGATCGTGACCCTCCCACACAGTACAGTAACTTATATACACACCTGAAGAAAGGGACGCTTTGCTTTTGGGCTTTCCAAAAAAAAACCCACCAAAAAACACCAAAACACTGTTGGTGATGGTTGCACCTCGCGCGGGACTCCCCGGAGCGGCCAGGGACGCGCCCCGCCAGGTAAGTGTTGGAGGTTTTCAAACTTCTGCTGCCTGCGCTGCCCCGGCCGCCCTGTCCGTCCTGCCTGCGCTCCGCTCCGCTCCGCTCCGTCGCGCCGCTGCCGCTGGTCTCGCCGGGGGCTCGGGAGGCGCGGGGCGTCGTGCCGCCGGCGGGCAGCAGCGTCGGGAGGGAGCCGCGGCCATGCGGGATGGGACGCGCGCGGGGGCGTCACGCGTGGGTTTCCCGTGCCGATCGCGCGGGACCCTTTGCCGCCGCGGGGCAGTGGTGGAACTGCAAGTTCTGGAGTTCGGGCCGGGATGCGAGTCCCCTCGGTCCCCCGCGGGTCACTGCCCCAGCTCGTTCGGGATCCCGGCGGGCGGGCGGGCCGCGACGCGGACGTGTGTTTGTCTTGCTCCCGTTGCCGCCGGGCACTGGCGGGGCCTCTGGTTCCCCGCAGGCTTTCAGGAGAAGACCTCTGGAGTTCAGTGACACGTCCTGGAAACTTTTAGCAAGCGGGTGTCCTCGCCGGCGGCGGTGGCAGGTGGCTCAGCGCCCAGGACGGCGCTTAGGAGCGGAGGGGAGGGGACGTCCCGCGTCCCCCGCCGACCCGGAAGGGTCGCCCCTCGGGTCTGGCTAGGTCCCCGCGCTGAGGCGGGAGGAATAGGGGAGAAGGCAGCGGCAGGTCCCCGTGTCCCCGGCTGCCCGCCGCGAGGTGGCGGGCGGCCTGGGGCGCCCCCGCCGGGGGGACCAGCGGCTCTGCGCCCGGGGTAGCCCGCGGCGGGGCTGGTCCTTAGCTTAACGGCGCCCCTTTGGCAGAGGATTCCCGGAGAGGGGCTCGGGGAGCCGCAGAAGCGAGAAGGGATCTGGGCTGGGCCAGCCGCACTCTTGGACGTGTTCTTGTCGAGGATTTGGTGACTAATTGAACATGGAGAGGGCCTTTTTTTCCTCTTTTTTTTTTTCTTCCCCCATCCTTCCTTCTATCCATCCATCCTTCCCTCTCGCTCTTCTCTCCTCTCCCCCTTTCGGGAAAAAAAGGGAAAAAAAAAAAAAAAAAAGGAGAGGGGAGGAAAAAAAAAAAAAAAAGGCAAAAAAAAAAAAAAAACCGAGGGAGGCAGGGTGAGGCGCCCGCTGATTGGTGGGTGACGATTTTAGCCCGCACCAATGAGAGGCCCGCCTGCTCTCTATTTATTTAGCGCTCAGGGGGGAGAGTTTTCTCTTTACGCAGCGCCCGTGCCCAGCGTCGGAGCCTCCGCGCGGAGCGGGGCCGCGGACACGCCGCGCTCCGCCACGCTCCCGCGGCCCCGCGCCGCCGGCCCGCCGCGGGGGGAGGGGGGGTGGCAGGACACCCCCCTTCCCTCCCAGCGCCGCCTCGCCCCGGCGGGCTCCTGGGTTTCGGAACGGGACTTGGCGGAGATGGGGGGTGGGGACCCGGCGTGGCGGGGGACGGCGGAGCCGATCGCCCGTGGGTCCTGTGGATATTATGGTGGCAGCCGGATGGATGGATGTAGGAAGCCGCGGGAGACTTTGTCCTTCGCGAATCTTTTTGCGGTCTGGGCTTGCTGTACATAACTACCTACCCGGGAAGCCCTTACCCCAAAAAGCATTCGCGGAGGGCGCATTCGCCGAAGGAGCAGCAGCTGCGATCGCCGAGCCTTGGACTTATCTAGACTCTGTGGGCTTCTATTATTAATTCCTGGCACCTTTCCCTTTCCCCCGTCCAACCCACCCTCCCCAACCCCACCTCCCGCTGTGAGTGTATATATGTGTCTCTAGATATATATGTAGTGAGAGAAATAAACACCCTTTCCCCCCTTTCCTTCTCCGCTTCGTCCCCCAGACGTCCAAATATTCCCCGTCGCCTAACTTTTTAATCGACTTTTGCCTAAAGGAGCAAATCACACGTTTATTCGGATAACTGTATGGTGTTTTTTATTTCATTAATGGAAAAATAAAAATAGAATAAAACTTCCTAAAAGTTCTCCTATCCTCACCGACCCCCACCCCCCCACCGACCCCCCTCCTTCCAGGGCATAGCCGTGTTTGAAAATATGGGTGTCCTAGTTGATCGAGATTAATTCATAAAAAAAATGTATTCGGAGCGATTCATTAAATGCTCTGTAATCGTGAGCCTCGGTTTATTTCGAGGTGGGGAGGGTGGGATTTACTGGGATCACCCTATAAATAATAGGGAGGGAGGAGGAGGAGGGGGAGGTGCACGGATCCGCCGCGGTTTGGGGGAGACCCCAGTTAGCAGGAGATGCACCATGGAAGCGCTTGCCAAAGGCGCCTCCCTCCCCCCTGCCCACTTCCAACCTGATTTTAAGCAACTTGCAGTCCGGTGATATCTCCACTCACTCTTTCCGCAAAAACTAGTGCCCCCCAAAAGGGTAAAAAAGGCAGAATCCGAGGGAAAACCCAGCCGAGGCGATGCTTTTGGACGAGGTGATTGCAAGCGAGCAAAGCAGCATCAGCACCAGCTCTGTGGTTCTGAAACTGCCTTGTGCATGAACACAGCACTGAGAGCATCTCAGGCAGGAGTTAGAGAAGCTGCATTTTCCCTCTCTTTGCAGTAATTACCAGCCCGGATTCCGTGGGCAAGAAATAAATAGCAAAGAGAAATCCTCTCTGCCTGCCGCCCCCCAAAAGAAGGAACGATTAAGCGCAGATCTGTCCGTGCAGATCAGCCTCGTGAAAGAGACAAGATCTAAGCAGCAAGTTGGTAGCAGAGTGGCCGCTTGACGCAACACAGGGGCCTATGGTTCGCCCGGCTGTAAAATAAAAAGGAGGTGGGGGTGCGATCTAATGTCTCAGCTGTTAGAAAACACAAGGGCTCTCCCATCTGCCCCCCCTCGACAGCCGCACGGAGGGAGACCCGGCTGAGAAAGGGCTGATCTTGCATTTCAGGGAAGCCTGCATTGGAGAGATCGGGTGAGGACCACAATCTAAGAGTTACTATTTCTCGAGAAATAAAAGATATTTTGAAGACTTGCTCGCACTTTGGAAAAGAGTAAAAGGCTGGCTAAGGGACAAGTGAGAAAAGAAAGCAGAGCAAAAGCACATCATTGCTCCCTTCCCTCCTTCTTGCTCAGGACACGTAGCTTGAGCACTAGCTAGCTTGATGAAAACAAAGGTGGAAAGGTCACAATACCTTTTAAGTAGACTTACATTTTCATAATTATTTATCCTCTTCTATTTAGAGAAAAAAAAAGACGTTTGTACTTTCCGGTGGCCAGCAAACATCTTTACGTGGGTTTTATTCATGTGAGCATATTCTAAAGGGAGAGACAAGGTAGAGGGAACTTGGGAAAAAAAGAAGAGATGTGATAAGAGGGATCAGCCAAGCTAAGGCTGAAAAAAATCCTCTCTGTTCCCTGCCTACTGTCGTCCCTCAAGAGAATGGAGACCAGGAGTGATTTGGGGGGGCAGCTCAGGCGCGAAGGGAAATCCGAGCCACGGTGGTGCAGCTCCCCGTCTCTTTACCTTGCCAGCCAACTGTTGCTGCCATGCTCAGGGCTGCGGCTGCTGCGGGCGGAGCGGGAGCCGCTCCCTTCTGCTTGGGGCTGCCCCTGGCCGGGCTCCACAGGGCGCCTCTCGCCAGCCGCCCTGCCCCGCTCCCTGCCCTGCCCCGCTCCGTGCCCTCGCTCCTCGCAGGTTCCTGCCCGCTGCAGAGCCTTGCACACGTCGGGCGGCCCGGCCCGCTGCCGCTCCCGGCCGGGCACCGCCCGCGGCATCGGCCCCGGGGCAGCCCCGGCCCTCTCCTCCCGCCGCCCGGCTCTTGCCCGGCCCTGCCAAGGCGCGTCCCGGCCTGGCCTCGCCTCCCCCGACGTGCTGTGCCGGGTCTGGGCCTGAGGCAGCTGGAGGGGCTCCTCTCTGGTAGCCTGTGTGTGTGTATGTATGTATATATATGTATATGTATATCCCCAGGGGTGATAGGGACGTCCGGGTGGGGCCGTGAGCCAGACTCCGCTCCCCTGGACGCTTCGGGGCAGGCCGCAGCCAGGTGAGTCGGGGAGGAGCGGAGCGCCCTGCGGAGCCGCTCCGGCGCGATTAACCCGCCTCTCCCTCTGCCTTTCCCGCAGGTGCGGCCGCGCCGTCGAGCCCAGAGGTGCCGCGGGAGCAGCGAGGGCCGCGGGCAGGTGAGAGAAGCGACGGGCTTTCCCCACACCCCGGGATTCCTCCCGCGGGCCCCTCCCGAAAGCCAGGGAACCGTCCGGGTTCCCGGCTGCTGTTCCCTCGGTGCTGGTTACAGCCGGGCTTGGCCTAACACAGCGCTGGGGCACAGCTGCCCCCCGACCCCAGCACCGACAGGGCTCCAGGCAGCACCTGCTGCCCCCAGGCACAGGCAACAGCCTCATCCCACGTGGGAGAAAGCTCAGGATGGCAGAAGGGAGGTCAAGGCATTGAAACAGGGGGGCAAATCCAGGTAAAGTTGATACAAATTACATATAAACAGGCCGTCGTGTTGATTTCTAGTGAAACCTGTCGTCTGAAGACAGTGGGGAAGGAAAAAAATGTTAGTGAGCATTGCCTAAAATCTTACTTCCTTCGTCTTTCCTTCTTCATTCACTAGTTAACACTCTTCCACTTCACGGTTAAATGCATTGTCCGGCATTTGCAGTTCTCGTAGTTTTTGTCTGGTAGATTTCTTTCTTTTTTCTTCTTTTTTTTTTTTTTTAATCCACCATCCTTGAGACAGCTAGTACAAATTACTGCCTACCACTATAGTCGTGAGGTAGAAAACTGAGAGGCAAATTAATTGATAGCACATGTTTTAAAAACAAAAGGACCCTCTCCCAGTAAAACAACTAAACATATCCTTGTTTCAGTCAGGTTTACCCATTGTCCCCTGCTCTGTTTTCAGACGTGGCAATTTTAGAGAAAGAAGAAATACGTTCCAGTTACAAAATGAAAAGTTTACAGATAATTAACTACAGAAAGGTCTTTTTATATTTTGAATTTTAAATTCATTTTTCATATTTTAAATTCAATTTATGAGTAAATGAAATACATAGGAAGGATTTTTGTAAGAAGTCAATTTTTGTCTTTTTTATTTTGGCATCTAATTTCTTGATGGACGTTATCTGCCCACAAATTGCAGTGGACAATTTGCTGAAAAACAACAAAAATATCTTCCTTCAGAAAGCTACCATTATGGGCAGATGTCTTCAGAGGTTAGGGGCTCCTAACCTGCCACCTGTCTTACATCAAACACTCTGTCAGGACCCATAAAGCTTAGCAGTGCTTTACTGGTATCAGCTTGTTTGCAACCAAAGTAGACAAACTCTGCTTACTTAAAGATATGAAAGAAAAGCAGCTTCTCGTAGCCAAAGATGTGTAAGGCCTGCTAGGGCCTTGAGTACATGCAACTCCTAGACCAGCATTTAATCTCCCTCAAAAGAGGATGTATCAAATACTAAACTAGTACTGCTCTTGAGGTTTCTTAAAAGGTCAAGGCATACATTGCTAGGACTGGGGGGGGGTCAGTGCATGTTAATTTATGTCTGTTACTGCACTTAATGCAATTATATAAAGGCTGAGGGCCTATGAAGAGAATTGCTGCTTAAGACCTCAGAGCCTCCTGTATTCCTGTCAGTAAAGGGCTGAGAAATACCTCCAACCATCTGTAAAAAATTGCTTTGTGAATATGGGCCTCATGAAATAATGATATAACACTCTTACCCCATCCTCCTTCTCTCCTCCTTCTCCCCCAGTTTTTATTAGTATTTGAGTCTTTTACAGATCATCTGCACATCAGTTCTCATTCCTTCTCTTTAAGATGTGTTACCACAAATATATTTAGCTATAATATTTGGATTAGCTGTAGTATGCTGCCATCTCATTTCTGGATATAGAGATTGCTCTTATAAAGGACTCATGTAAATTACCTTTTATTTGTAGTATTATATTTTCAGACAAGTTGTGTAGTGGTTGTTTTTCATGTAACTTTTAGTAACTATCAGGCCTAGCACTAGATGTTTTAACATATATGTCTAAAGGGGCTTTTCCTATAAATTAAAATAAATATCTTTCAGCTTTTCTACTACAGGGCAGGTTAATTTGGTTAGTGTCATGTTGCTGGCCCTCCATCCCCCCTTCCCCCCAGAAAGAACAAAAACTTCTTATATCTCTTTCTGAAATATTTTATGGGAACTAATTATGGAATACTAAATAGGGTTTGTTGACTCACTGGCAGTGTCCACAGAAGCGTGTTTTGTCAAACTGTTCCCAGTGTTGTCATCCCTGGTTCAGCATGGCCAGTGGAAGTGCCCTGATAAGCAGTTATGCAGGTAGTAGTGCTTGCAGCATGCTTAGTTGACACTGTGTTTGTCTAACATAGGGAGTACAAGAGTGAAACCCCAGTGAAGCCTAATTAGCAGTAGCAATGGTAGAAAAGGTTGGCAGATTTATGGTACTGCAGACGTGATATGTAGTCTGGGGGAAAATACAGCATGCAGACTTACCAAAGTTCAGAGAGGAGCACTGCAGCAGACAAACTTAGTCTGAAATGGCATAATGCTGTTTCTGTTTGTAAATATAATCCATTTCCATTTGTAAATATAACCAGAAAAGAGTAACATTACCCATGGACTTTGTTTGGAGCAGAAAGAAGCTGCACCTTATTTAAATACATTCAATTTTCTGTGTAAGTGACCAAGTACTGTTCAGAGCAGCACACACAGGCACAGGGTTGGCTGCATGCATGCACAAAAAATACATATGCACGTGAATATAAAATTTATTTTTTTTCTAGCGCTTTGTTTTAATTCTGGATAGTCAGGCTTCTTAAGTTGTAGAAGAGAGTTACAAAAGTAGTCCCTGAGAAATTCAAAGTTTCCACTTAAATTACAAAGTGCTACCTGTGTTTTATAGCATATTTGATGCTGTTGTTCAGATAGGTTTGGAAGGCTGATAGAAGATGCTTTATTAATTTTTCTATGTGCAGATGGAGAAATGCATCATGGTAGTAGCATGACATGAGTCTCATTTCTAATACGTCTTTAGTCTCTGCAGAACATCTCTGGGGTTAGGAGACACCATCTACTCCACGTGGCCACAGTCCAAACTCCAGCACAGCTCAAGTGCTTCCCGTGACCCATGTTCCTGTCTGTGTGCAAGTAGTCACGGGCTGTGGTGACATAAGTGTGGTGACGAGGACACGCATTCGGGCACTGATGGTACTTGTGCTAGTCACCAGGATGCAGCATTAACTTCTGCAGGAGAAAAGAGATGATTCCCTCGAGTTGAGCCAGAGGAGAAATGTGACCCGTGTGTTTGTCAGTGAGTTGTGGTGTTTTCGGTGCTAATGTTCTAGGCACCACGTTGTTCTCTTCTAGGCAGGCATAGATGGGAGACATGTGAGAGGAAAAGGGAGGTGAATTTAATTTTCTGTTTATTTTATTAGAGGATTCCCTCATCCCCAAAGCCCATTCTCTGAATTTGACAAATCCATGCTCTCCCATTGCAGCAGCTCTGTCTCCCGGGAGGTGGCCAGGCTTTCTTCTGAAGTCGCCCCCTTTGCTCGGCAGTGGAAGCATTGAAGGGATTATTGTCACCTTCTCCCCCCAGTTGAAAGTTGGCAAGTAGTTTTTTAAAAAGGGCTCAGAGAATTGTGAGTTTCTAGGCCAAGAACATAGTAAACAATTTACTAAGAATAAATTCAGGGTGTGCCCTGGAAAAGGTGTTCCATCATCCCTTATTTTCAGCAAGCTATAAGTAAACAGCATGGAATAATGCCATGCTAAATAGCGTAAAGCTATCATGGGCTTCTGCCCAGGTGGACAAGGTTCATTTTCCTGGGAAACCTGAAAATTCTCAATTTGTGTGCAAACCTCTCTGAAAAGGGGAGTTGCAAAAAAAAATTTCTTCTGAGAATTTGATTGTTTTAAATGATGCCTTTTCAAAATGATTGCATGGTTGAAGGAAAAAATGGAAAGCAGTGGGACACTGTCATGGAGAAATTACATACTTTTTAAAGAATGTGATTCTTCCATTTTTATTCTCTTCAAATTATCTGCCCTCATGTGAATGTTTTTACCAGAGAGATGTGGGAGGCAGAAAGCACTGCCAAATCAAGGCCCACCACACCCTTGAGTTTATAGCTTTACTGAAGGAAATAAGGTTATTTTCCAACAGAGGAATTGGGACAAGCACTGGGACAACATGTGCTGTTGTTCAGCTCATCACAGCACAGTCCCAGCTGTACAGATGTAAGTCAACCCATGCAGGTGTCCACCCTCACTCCAAACAGGAGGGAAAGGTGGAAGTGGTGTAGAAGAGAGTGCATTTGATCTTGCACTGAGTGGATGGCACATGGTGTCCCACTCTGGAAAGAGAGGAGTAAAGACAAAGAAGGCTAGTTAATTAGGAGAAGGGCTGGGGACAAGTCACCAGCACCCATGACATGATCAGTTATTTAACCTCAATACATAGAATACTTAGTCAGTAGTGTTAATTTAACAGAAGTACTGTGAGCTGCAAACGCCCAAAGAAAGACATAAAAGCCATCGCAGAAACATCTCAATGCCTTTGTCTTTCTCTTTCTGGAAAGTCTGGTGGCTCAATAAAATTCTGCATGTCTGGTGTAGCTGCCCTTTTCCTTAGTGACAAGCTGATGCCAGGTCTCAATCACTTTCTGGTTTCCTTTCTAAATCTCTTTAATTATATTGCTATATTTTAGTTATTTTTCAGCATGTGTTCATATGCTCTGTTTTATAACATTAAAAATGGCCAGTGATTCAAGAGAAGACCTATTTGTCTGCTAAGAGGATGTGAAAAATCTTGACATACCTGTTAGAAGTTCTTGACTGTGCCAATACATTTGCCAGTTTTGATGTGAACATGTACTCACTGCTAATTTGCCGTTTGTTGATCCATCTCCAGTGCAAGGATGGTGCAGTGAGGAGTTCCCTGCCTGGGCACAGTTCTCAGCCTTTGTCATAGATCTGCTCCTGTGGCCTCTCACTCCTCAGAGAGTCTCCTGCCTATGTGTCCCAAGTGTAAGGCACAATTTCTGGTTGGAAATTGGGATTTCATCTCAAAGCGGTAGAAAGAGAGGGACAGATGACATAACTTTTGGGGGGTGCTGTTTTCTGACAATATATTTAGTAACTCTCTTTTCCTTTCAAATCAGGATATA